GTTGATGAAGACATTAAACAGAATTGGTCACAAAACATACCCCTATGGAACCCCACTTGTTATTCCTTTTCAACATGACTGTGAACCATTAGCCCCATCTAAGTTGTTTTTGCCTAGTTTATTGATAAGAAGGTCATGTGAGACCATATCAAATATCTTACTAAAGTCTAGGTATACCACATCCTCTGCTTCTCCGTTATCCACAAGGCTTGTTATCCTATCAAAGAAAGCTATGTGATCCGTTTGACATGATTGGTTCTTAACAAATCTATGCTGGCTGTTACCAGTCATCTTACTAATTTCCAGGTGTTTGCAGATGAAATTCCTTAATTATTTGCTCCATTATCTCTGTCCTGGTACAGAAGTTAAACTCACTGCTCTGTAGTTTCCTGGGTTGTTCTTTTACCCCTTTTTATAGATGGGTGCTAGATTTGCCCTTTTCCAGTTTTCTGGAATCTCTCCCGACTCCCATGACTTTTCAAAGTTGGTAGCTAAAGGCTCAGATACCTCCTCTATCAGCTCCTGAATATTCTCAAATCCATTTCATCAGGCCCTGGTGACTTGAAGACAAAACTTCTCTACGTAATTTTTAACTTGTCCCCTTTTAAAAAGAAAAATTAACTTCTAAACCTACCCCATTTCCACTGGCATTCACTATATTAGGCATCCGGTCACCACCAACCTTCTTGGTAAAAAACAAAACAAAGAAGTCATTAAGCACCTCTGCCATTTCCAAGTTTTCTGTTGTTATTTTTCTCTCTTCACTGAGCAATGGGCCTACCCTGTCTTTGGTCTTCCTCTAGCTTCTAAACATTTGGGCTGTGTCTACACTGGGCCACTTATTCCGGAAAATCAGCCGCTTTTCCGGAATAAGCTGTGAGCTGTCTACACTGGCCCTTGAATTTCTGGAAAAGCAACAACGCTCTACTGTACAAAATCAGCCGCTATTCCGGAAAAACTATTCTGCTCCCGCTCGGGCATAAGTCCTTATTCCGGAACACTGTTCCGGAAAAGGGCCAGTGTAGACAGCCCAGTAGTCTTTTCCGGAAAAAAGCCACGATCGCGAAAATGGCGATCGGGGCTCTTTTCCGGAAAAGCGTGTCTACATTGGCCACAGACGCTTTTCCAGAAAAAGGGCTTTTCCGGAAAAGCATCCTACCAATGTAGACGCTCCTTTTCCTGAAAAACTGAAAACGGAATAGTATTCCGTTTTAATCATTTCCGGAAATTCATGCCAGTGTAGACACAGCCTTGTGGAATGTTTTCTTGTTGCCTTTATGTCTCTAGCTAGATTGAGCTCATTTTGTGCCTTCACCTTTCTAATCATGCCCCTACATACTTGTGTTATTTGTTTATACTCCTTATACTTATTTTTCCTTTGTAATTTTCCTTTTTTAATATACCCCCTTTTTGATTTTTAGATCATGTAAGATCTCCTGGGTAAGCCAAGGTGGTCTCTTGCTATGCTTCCTATTTTTCCTATGTAGTGGAGTAGTTTGCTGTTGAGCCCTTAATAATGTCCTTTTGAAAAAACTGCCAACTCTCTTCAGTTGTTTTTCTTCTTAGTTTTGCTCCCCATAGGACGTTACCTACCAGGTCCTGGAGGTTCCTAAAATCTGCCTTCCTGAAATCCTTTGTCTCTGTTTTGCTGTTCTCCCTTCTCCCGTTCCTTAGAATCATGAACTCTCTGATTTCATGGTCACTTTCACCCAAGCTGCCTTCCACTTTCAAATTCTTAGCCAGTTCCTCCCTATTTGTTAAAATCAAATCTAGAACAGCTCCCACCCCCAGTAGCTTTCTCAGCCTTCTGAAATACAAAATAGTTTCCAATGCACTCCAAGAACGTATTGGATAATCTGTGCCCAGCTGTGTTATTTTTCCAACAGATGTCTGGACAGTTGAAGTCCCCCGTCACTACCACATTCTGCGCTGTGGATGATTTTGTTAGTTATTTAAAAACCCTGATCCACCTCTTCTTCCTGGGCAGGTGGGCTGTAGAAGACCTCTAGAGTGACATCACCTTTGTTTTTTACCCCTTTTTATCTAAGTCTGAGACTCTCAACAAGTCTGTGTCCTGCGTCCATATCAGCCTTAGTCTATGTATATGCATTTTTAATATCTAAGGCAGGGCTACTCAACTTTGGAAGCCCCAGGGTCCACAATGATACTCACAGCACATGCCGAGGGCCGCAATTTAAACATGGTTGCATATACATGCAAATATATGCAAATAGTTTCTTTCACACTGTCAGGCATGAATACAAAAATTAAGGCAAGATTACACTACACTACATTTAATCCGTTCTGCTGGTAATAACAAAATGCAATATTTACCTGATTTCCACCCAATGACAGCACTTTTAATGAGCAATGAGAGCCCAGGAATTTAACTGCTAAAATGCATATCAACAGAAGTCCATTATACTGGCTAATTTTTTGTTTTGGCTCCCACCCGTGTGCCGCATATTGAGTAGCCCTTGTCTAAGGCAACACCTCGCCCCATTTTCCCATGCCTATCCTTCCTGAGCAAGCTGTACCCTTCTATACCAATATTCCAATCGTGTGTATTATCCCAGCGATGTCAGAGTTGTGTGTATTTACTAGCACTTCAACTTCTTCCTGCTTATTCCCCATATGCCTTGCGTTTCTATACGGGCATCTAAGATACTGATTTGTTTTCACCCCCCAGTTTCTGCCTTGTCACTCCTTTATCTCTGCTGTTATAGCCCATGTGCCCTGCCATTTCTGACCCATTTCCAAGGTCTCCATGTTTTTCACTTGCCTGTGGGCTTTGGTCACCTGCCCCCATTGAATCTAGTTTAAAGCCTAGGTTCACCTCCTGGCTGGGGAAAAATTCAGAAAATACCAGGCATCTTAGGTGTCCGGTATTCTCTGAATTTTTTTCCCGGACAGGAGGCGAAAATACCAGACTCTCTGGGTGAATACCTCACTAGGTTAGCCAGTCTGCATCCAAAGATGGTCTTCCCCTTCCTCGAAAGGTAAACCCCATCTCTGTTTAGCAGGGATCTTCACCAACCCACTCATTACATATTTTAATACAAATTTTACACTAAGGTCCGGTTGACTAACACAGTACATTCAAAAACTGGCAAGATGTACATGTAAATGCCTGTTAAAATGGCCTCGTTACCATGTGAATGGCTCTTTCACAGCTTCAGTGCTCTGCTAGTTGGTCTGGCCAGCATTGTCCCTTGGTCTTCTCCAAAGCAAGGAGAACCACAGATCCGAGATAGAAAGAGCAGTGTGGGTGGACATTAGACACAGCTGTGCCCCAAATTTTCAGGTGCCCTATGCCGCTGGGTGTTCTGTACCTGGGTAATGGTGGGGCCTTGTTTAACATTTCCCACTCCAACTCCTGTTTGCTTAAACTTGGGTTAAATATCTCCTTGGTCTTTACATCAGCTTCGTTTTTACAGCCAAGTTTCAGCTGCTTCCAAAAAGTAGGGCGATGACAAAAGGATGGAATCACTGCCCTTGAGAATGCCCTGGAGCCAGCTTTCCAACAGCTGTAATATTTCAAAGGGTTCCAAGAGGAAACTGAGCTTTGAGGTGGTGTAGATCTCAGAGGTGCCCATACAAGAGTGGCTTGACATGACTGAGCTTTAAGTCATGGGAAAGTCACCATTTAGACAGGTTTCATTCTGCATTTGTCCCTTACTGCCCTTAGCATTCTAGCTGGGGTTTGTCAGAAGAAGCTAGGAAAGTAACATACGCTCAACCCTTTGAAAAACTCAACTCCTATCCATGCTCCTAGACCAGTGGACCCCCAAACTGGGGAGCATGAAGGGGGAGCATGGAGGAACATTTGGGTGAGAATGGCAGAGTGTGGGTGGGCAAACTTGAGGTGGGGAGAGGTTACATGATTCCCCTGGTGTGGCCCTGTGCAGCTGAGTCATTAACACACACACACACACACACACATACACAAATGGGCATTGGTTATTTTCCTCACTGTGGTTTGTGGGGAGCTACTATCTGGCTGCTTTCTCAGCTTACCATGTTTTAGATACAACCAGAAAACAAAATCTTACAACTTCATAGACACTGCAGCTGTACTTATTTATATAGACTTTCAGGAGTTCATCGCCTTTCCCTTCATACCTCACGTGACATGCTTTATATGCAATATCACACTTCTGTACATCATGAGGGATATGGGGGTTACATGCTGCTCCCCCAGGGTACAGAGCATCCAACCCTAAAAACAAGTAAGATCCAAACACACTTCCCACCACCAACTAACTCCCTTAGTCCTTTTAAGATCATAGAATCATAGAATACCAGAACTGGAAGGGACATCAAGAGGTCATCGAGTCCAGTCCCCTGCCCTCATGGCAGGACCAAATACTGTCTAGACCATCCCTGATAGACATTTATCTAACCTGCTCTTAAATATCTCCACAGATGGAGATTCCACAACCCTCCTAGGCAATTTATTCCAGTGCTTAACCACCTGGACAGGTTTTTCCTAATGTCCAACCTAAATCTCCCTTGCTGTGATTTAAGCCCATTGCTCCTTGTCCTGTCCTCAGAGGCCAAGGAAAACAATTTTTCTCCCTCCTCCTTGTAACACCCTTGTTTGTATCGCTGTACAGTCACAAAGTGAGTATCTCTTGCCAGTTCTCACCACTGGTAAACATTGTCCCGGGCATACATTGGTTAAGTATACCTGTAGCAACTCAAGGGCACTAATGCTCTGCTTCACTGAGAGTAAACCTGGCAGGGCCCCTTCACTACTAATTGGGTCTGTGGTTTTGGGAAGATCGATCGGAGCCTGCGGTATGGTTTCTGGGTCCAGGGCCCGTGTAGCATGCAGAGAGAACACACAGATGCGGCCAAGAACTGAGAACACACCCAACTGGCTACGAACAAATCGGTTCAACCACTCACCATGCTACACACTAGCAGAAAACCTGAACAGGCAGCTGAGTATGTGTCTCTGCTTTTTTATTGGATGTTCATTCTCATGGATCTTCGGGTTACCCAGGAGCCGGATGGTTCTTTGCCCACAAGAGTCTCCTCAGAGCTGCCTTCACTTCCTTGTTGTTCAGGCTGTAGATGATTGGGTTTAACATGGGCGTTAAGATGCTGTACTGGATGGACACCAGAACATCCAGCAGCACCGAGGAGGCCGAGTTGGGTCTGAAATACCTAAACAAGCCTGCTCCGTAGCATAGACCCACCACAATGAGGTGAGAGCTGCAGGTGGAGAAGGCTTTACGCCTGCCCTCAGCAGAGCGTATCCTCAGGATGGTGCCAATGATTTGAATGTAGGAGCCCAGAGTGGAGGAGAATGAGACCAGACCAATCACCATGGCAGAGGTGAGAAACACCGTGTTGCTTGTGAAGGTCTCTGAGCAGGACAGAGCCACCAGGGAGGGCAGCTCACAGATGAAATGGTGAATGGTGTTGGGCCCACACAAATATAAGGCTGACAAAGGGATTACATTGCTGAGGGCATACAAAGATCCGATCAGCCATGCACTGGCCACCAGCTGACAGCAGACACGTTTGTTCATAGTTGTCACATAATGCAGTGGGTCACAGATGGCGGCATATCGATCGTAAGCCATCGCAGAGAGAATGAACACCTCGCTGCACCCTGACAGGAGGAGGAAGAACATCTGGGCAATGCAGCTGCTGACAGAAATGGTTTTCCGCTCCGACAGGAGGGTCTCCAGCATCTTCGGCACGATGGCTGAGGAGAAGCAGATATCTGAGAAGGACAAATGGGAGAGGAGGAAGTACATGGGGGACCCCAGGTGGGGATCAGCCTGTGTTACCAACATGATCGCCCCATTGCCCCCTAGGGTGGTCAGGTAAATAAGTAGAAACACCACGAAGAGGAACTTCTGCATCTGTGGGTCACTGGACAGCCCCAGGAAAATAAACTCGGTCACTGTTGTCTGGTTAGCCATGGTCATTTATTCAGCAAAACATTTTGACCTTGAAGAACAGAAAGAAATGAATCATTGGGAAGCACTTTTTAGTACCGAGCACCTCTTGCACCTCCTCCAGCATTTCCCCGTGGCAACTAGCAGGCACGGGTGTGATTGCCAAAGGGATTTAGACACCAAAAGATGCAGACAGGTACTTTGCAGGATTTGCCAATGTGCCAAGGCACCTAGGGAGACATTTTGAAAGCTCCTCGCGGGAGCTCTGTGGGAACGAGGCAGCTAGACTCTTGAAAATCCCATTATGTGCCTGGACACCTGAAAAATTTATCCATCAGTGTCCATTGATGTTAGTGGCGCCTGGCCTGCTGAGCCCAGGTTTGGGCTGTGCGACCTAACACACAGAGTCACAGCACCGCTCGCTAACTGGGACGGGGGAAGATTCTCCACCCCTCAGCTTCCTCCTCACCACACCGGGGCTTTGCTATTTCCAGCCTGGTTGCTCCCCAACCTTGCAGGTCCCCCAGCAGGGACTCTTAGCACCCTCTTCACATGCTGCCCCCCTGCCCTAGTCTTGCCCCCAGGGCGTGTATGGCTGCGCTGTCCTGTAGGCACCCTCCCCTGCTGAGCCACCTCGCTGGCTGTGTTGGCTGACACCCCTGCAGTGAGGTTTCCTGAACCTTGTTGCAGAAGACATCCTTAGGGCTTAACTTAGAAAGGAACAATCAGTTTCACACATACAGAATGGGAAGCGACTGTCTAGGAAGGAGTACGGCAGAAACGGATCTAGGGGTTATAGTGGACCACAAGTTAAATATGAGTCAACAGTGTGATGCTGTTGCAAAAAAAGCAAACATGATTTGGGGATTCATTAACAGGTGTGTTGTGAGCAAGATATGAGGAGTCATTCTTCCACTCTACTCAGCACTGGTTAGGCCTCAGTTGGAGTATTGTGTCCAGTTCTGGGCACCACATTTCAAGAAAGATGTGGAGAAATTGGAGAGGGTCCAGAGAAGAGCAACAAGAATGATTAAAGGTCTAGAGAACATGACTGAAAGGTCTAGAGAACATGAGCTATGAGGGAAGGCTGAAGGAACTGGGTTTGTTTAGTTTAGAAAAGAGAAGACTGAGAGGGGACATGATAGCAGTTTTCAGGCATCTAAAAGGGTGTCATAAGGAGGAGGGAGAAAACTTGTTCATCTTGGCCTCTGAGGATGGAACAAGAAGCAATGGGCTTAAATTGCAGCAAGGGAGGTTTAGGTTGGACATTAGGAAAAAGTTCCTACCTGTCAGGGTGGTCAAACACTGGAATAAATTGCCTAGGGAGGTTGTGGAATCTCCATCTCTGGAGATATTTAAGAGCAGGTTAGATAAATTTCTATCAGGAATGGTCTAGACAGTATCTGTCCCTGCCATGGGGGCAGGGGACTGGACTCGATGACCTCTCGAGGTCCCTTCCAGTCCTAGTATTCTATGATTCTATGATTAACCCCTTCCTCCCCATATCTGTAGCCAGGGAAAGGAGGCATCTGTATTATATCTGTGGCGAGCAGCAATGTGGCGGTGTCAGCTGGTTTTCATGGGCAAGAAGGGAGAAGCTGCTTCTAGCCACAGGGGAATGGAGGTAGTCAGGAGGGAGGAGATGACCTCTGGAAAGACGTGGACCAGGTCACCACTGTCCTCACCCCGTTCAGCTGTAAGCAGCTCCCATCCCTTCCCACCCGCACAGTGCTGAAAGGCTGCTGCTGGCCGCGTTCATCTGTGGACCCTCACAGAAATCTGGAGAGGGGATCTGTGAGCTTGTGTGCCCCCACGTTTCCTTGAGAAGACCCGGCTCTAGGTACCATGAGAGGAGGGTCCGTCTTGGGGGTCTAGCCATGCAGGAGGGTGGGGACCACTGGGCAGAGAGGGTGGGGCCAGGTCCGTCAGTCACCAGAGAGACGTATGGGCGTGTGTGTGTGTGTCACCTCTTCCAAGGCAAACCTTAAGGAAATAAAAAGAGTCCAGCTATGCACTATTTCCTTCTATGAACTCAGTCATTTGAAGGCTTGTACTGCACATTTTGGATTGACTGCCATGGAACTCACTTGATTACGAGTAATTTTACCAGGTATTCAGCCTAGGGACAAAGGGCCACCCTACACTAGATGCCAAAACGCCATTACCAATCTGACCCTCGGTGCATTTCTGACCTGTGTATCCTCTGCTGTGTACTTACGGTCATCATTTACGCTTGTGGGGAGGGAGAGGAAAAGAAAAAGGTTGATCTAATGAGTGTACAGCTAACCATGCAGCACCAGGTGCTGCCTCTTTGAAAGGAAAACGACCAATGGAACAGCCGTGAAACGGAACGAAACTCACCTGCATTCTATGAGGTGAAGCATATCCCTCTCTCACATCTCGGTCACAGATGCAAAAATAAACAGAGCAGATCTTCCATCTCCCAATTAATCCATCAAAGGCTGCTGAATATACCAGACCTAAAACAGGCAAGCCCCTGGTAACTGGGAGGAGACAACTGTTGTGTATGGAGTTTTACTAGCTCTCTGATCTGTCACTAACCACACTTAGCAAATAAAAACATCGCTTTCTCTCGATCAGATATTTATTGCAAAAGCCGAGAGGACATGTGTATCTGATACCCTTGGGATCCGTTCCCTGATGTTGCATCCCAACTCTCATTATGGGGTTAGCAGTTCATTATCCCAGGTGACAACACCAAACAGACATAAATAAATTATCTGAGTTTACCTATTTTTATGTATGGGTGTATTAGAAGACTTACCTAGGTCCTCAGAGGATATCAACAGATTTCAGGAAAAATGTGGGCAAATAGGAAAAAGTCCAGAGAAGAGCACCAAAAATGATTAAAGGTCTAGAAAATATGATCTATGAAGGAAGATTGGGAAAAAAAGAGAAGACTAAGAAGGGGCATTATAGTTTTCAAGTACAAAAAGTTGTTATAAGGAGAAAGGAAAATAATTGTTCTTCTTAACCTCTGAGGATAGGACAAGAAGTAGTAGGCAGCAAGAGAGGTTTAGATTGGACATTAGGAAAAACTTCCTATCTGTCAGGGAGGTGAAGCTCTGGAATAAATTGCCTAGGGATGTTGTGGAATTTCTATCACCGGAGATATTTAAGAGCAAGTTAGACAAGCACCTGTCAGAGATAACTAGACAGTGCTTGGTCCTGCCATGTATGCAGGGGATGACTTCACAAGGTCCCTTCCAGTCCTATGAGTCTATGCATATTAATTTTGGCCACCTTTTGTGGCTGAATTGAGACTTCTGTGGCATGTTTCATGTGGGGTGGGCTCTCCTGGGCTATGTCTAGACTGCAGGCTTCTTTCGAAAGAGGCTCTTTCGAAAGCATCTTTCGAAAGAGCCTCTTTCGAAAGAGAGCGTCTAGACTGCATGGAGAAATTTCGAAAAAGCGGCTTGCTTTTTTGAAAGAAAGCATCCAGTGAGTCTGGATGCTCTCTTTCGAAGAAGCCCTATTTACATTGAAGAACGCCTTCTTTCGAAAGAGGAACTTTCGAAAGAAGGCGTTCTTCCTTGTAAATTGAGGTTTACCGCCATCGAAAGAAAAGCCGCGTTCTTTCGAATTAATTTCGAAAGAACGCGGCTTGAGTCTGGACGCAGGGGAAGTTTTTTCGAAAAAAGGCTACTTTTTTCGAAAAAAACCCTGAGTCTGGACACAGCCCTGGTGACCTCCCCTGTTGTTGTGGGCATTCACATTTCTTAAAACCACACTGCAGATCTCTGAAGATGGTGGCCAACCATGAAAGTTCCATTGGAAGTGACTGTCCATAAATTGCTTCCGAAATCTGTAGCAGAACCAGTTCTAGAAGCCAGTTTTCCTTGGCTTGAGGCCACCAGACCATCTCTTCACTTCTGGTAGGCCCTTGTGCACCATTGACGACACGCTTTCCAGTGAACACTTCTGCAATGAACCAAGGCGGTGCTGAGAGCTGCCTGGAAAACAGAATTTCCTTCCTGAGGGTGTAATGTTCATAGTTCCATCCTGAGTTGACAGCCAAGGGACAGAAAGGCTACGTCTATACTGCACCCTAGTTCGAAATAAGATACACTGCTTGAACTACACAAATTGCGTGTCGTATTTCGATCTTATTTTGAAATAGTTTGTTTCATAATATGGCAGTCTATACAGCGCCAAATTTCAAAATAACCCGCGATTCTGAAACATCTCTTACACTCACGGAATGAGGTTTATAGGGACGTCGGAATAGAAAGCCTGAAATAGCACGAGGTTTAACAGTTAGTTCAAACTAAGGGATTTATCTTGGAATTCCGCCTTTCTGCCGCATGTAGACGCAGGGAGTTACTTCGGGCTTGTCAGTTTCCAAAATGGCGACCAGCCAGGACTATGCTAATCAAGCACAGGATATTTAAATCCCGCACTTCATTAGCAATTTTGGTTGCCCTCATTAGCCTCCCTAGTTTGAACTAGGGGGCTAGTGTAGACGTACTCTGATTGTCTTATCATTACTTGGGTGGTGGCAGCAGAATTTTTATCCCCCAAATCTAGGTTGTTAAGATTCTAGGGGAAAGTTTTTTACCAAGGCCTGGAAAGATAAGGTTTTGGAGTACTTTTCCAGGCCCTCACTTCTGCATTTGTCGTAGCTGAGTGAGGAAGGAGCTATGACAGCGCCTCTGAGTTGACAAGGCAACTTCATGTTCAGTTTCCTCCTGCAATCCTTTGAAATATTGGAGCTGTTTGAAAGCTGGTCCTGGAGCATTGTCAAAGGTAATAATTCCACCCAGCTGTCCCCAGCCTGCTTCTTGGAAAAGGCTGAAATTTGGCAATGAAAATAAAGCCGACACAAAGCCAAGGAGAATTTTGACACATTTCTAGGTGAATGGGAGGTAGAGTAGGAAGTGTTAAGCAAAGGACCGTCCTTACCATATGCAGAATACGCAGCTGTGCAGGGGATCCAAAAATTTGGGGGCACTGCTTAGACTCAGTGATAGAAATGTAGCCGTGTTAGTCTGGTGTAGCTGAAACAAAAT